CTCCTAGCCCATCTCTTATCAAATGACATGAGTTTAGATTCCTGAATTAGAACAATGTTTGGGTTTTCTTTCTTTAAGACCTCCTTTATTAAAGCTCTTTTCCTTGCACCCCCAACCCTCTCACATTTCAGCTTACAATCTTCATTTCTTCAACACCTCTGCTTACCCCCACTCCCTTTCCTTCTAATAGCCTCCTTTTCTTCCCCTCCCCATTCCTTACTCTAGCCTCTTTGCCCTCATCCACTTCCAACTTCAATTTCTCAGCTTCACCTAACCTTCTCTTCCTCCCATTCCCGCCATCTTTTTCAGCCCGTAAATACGCTTTTAGCTCATTTAGATCTTTCACCTTGCAACCTACTTTCCTACAAATTCAGCTAATGACTCCTCTTCTTCCTCTCCCTTATGTTTCTCCCCCCCCCCCTACCTCACTCCTCCCGTTCCCCTCCTTCTCCTTCTCCAACTTACCACTGCCCTCCTTAGATTCCCCCCTAGCTAATTCACTTGAATCTGCTTTACCCACCCTCACCACCTTCTTACCCCCCTCCTGTAATTCCCCACCCTCCTCATTGTCAGCTTCTAATCCTTGGGTATTCAGTACAAGGGCACGACTAGAATCTGAAAGACTGACATCATAGGCAGAGCAGACATTAGTATCTAAAACCAAAACCACAGCCATACCTGGGTCTGAAAGAATAGGAGAAGAGACAATCGACAAGGTTAGTCCTCCCACTCTCTGAATAGGGATTAGCTGATCGCCACCTAGGCTGACTTCACCCTTGTTCGTACTTCCGAGGCTCTGTCGTTTATCCCCTCATGTGCCATCTCTGCTCGAATTTTGGTGAGCAACCGAATTTCTCTTGCAGGTCCCTTGTCTTAAGTTATTGTCCCCGATTGATTCTTCCTTACTTAGTATTCGATTTTCCTCCTTGTCTTTCAAAGCACACTCGGCAACATTCATCTCTCCGCACCCAGTGGAGGTTTTATGCAGTAAGGGATCCTCTGTTGCAAGCTTTGAGTATAGTATATCAGTGTTTAAGGTGTCTTCCAACTCTCCTTGACGTTTATCACACTGAAATTCCGCTTCATCGTCTGAGTCTGACATCTCCTCTGAGCTACCACAACTGACCCAACCACCATCCTCATCTTCACCGTCTTCCCTACACCCCCTGGAATATCTTGGATTTGGCCTATCTCCCTCCGTCCCATCCCGGTCGTCTTCTCTATGTTTTATCACTGGAATCCAGCTCAGAGTCTTCTTCGATGAACTCTGGCTGGCTGAAAGAGATTTTCGGTCCCCAACAGTCGAATCTCGTGAGGAAGAAGATAGACACTTGGAATTGTCTATCAACGGATGCTTATAAAAATGACTCACGTGACCACTTAAGTGGTCACATGAATCCGAAGAAGTGCTATGGGCCCTTATCTCATTATGAACAAACTGACCCGGAACTGAGCCAGTCGGGTCATAATGTGTAGTGAGAAACTCAAACTTGGACCTGACTCGAACCGCCCCTTGGTCTGACCGAGTTACTCCTTTGATCAACTCCGCATAGGACAAACCAGCTGTAAAGTTGTTTTTGTTTTCAAAAAAATTTGAAAGCTTTTCCAAAAATGCCTCTTTACTTTCGGCATTCGACTTTTCAGCTTCCACATTTGATGAAAGCTTCACTCCAGCAGTTGCCACGTGTCCAAACTTCCTTTGCTCAATCCCGCCAACTGTAATCCATCTTGCCACGTCATCATCTCCTTCAAGCTTTGACCTCCCTATCCACTGCAACATTTCAACTTCCGAACTCACCCAGACTTTATACCAGTATCCTTCTACGCATAGTTGTAGTACCCTCGGAACTTCCTCAGGCTTCATTCCAGCAACTCTCAAAAGAACTGCTCTCAAATTTGTAGTCTTGTACGATAGAGAACACTACCCATCGCTCGCACCAATCTCTCTAGGGTGAATTTTTGCCAGAGATGAAAAGGTAGCCCTAGCAGCTTCAGCTTAAAACTGCCTTCTATAACAGCAACCTCATTCAAAAGGGGGCACCAATTTTCAATCTTAATGAATTTATTATGATTTTTAATACTAAATTTATAATAAATTATGATTTAGTATAAAGTTTATTAAATTTATTCTGATTTTTTATATTAAATGTAGAATATGGTTTATTATAAAATTTAATAAACGTTTTCTGATTTTAATAAATATTTTAAAAAATACTAACTAGTTAATATTTTATTACTTGAAAAATATTTTATGTTTTATATTATAAAGTAATTAATTTATTCTTTTGTTTTTATATTTTGTTAATTCTTTTTATAAATATTTTATTTGAAATATTAAGTAGAAATTATTAATGGAATAATCTATATTAATATACTGTATTATATTAATATAATATACTAATATATTATATTTTTAATGTACATTAGTCGACATCTTGTCGACATAATAGGAAAAACTGTATTTTTTTGGTTATTTGGACTGATTTGGTCGACGTTTCCGAAATATAGGAAATGTCGACCGACATAATGTAATTTTTATATTACCGTCCACTTTCATGTCGGTGAGCCTCGACATCGACATATGTCGGGCGACATTAACGACATTTGAAACCATGAGAGGGATAATGGCCACACCCAAATGGACTTAGCAAACTGGCAAGTTGCCAATAGATGAAAACCAGTTTCTCCATCCGCTTTACAGAGAATTCATGGGACTATTTGTAATATGCATAGTTTAAGACCTTGCACTTGCTGGACTTGATTACCTTATCGGGCTATGAAAATCTTATGAAGCCAGAAAAGGTTGTTAGTCTGACTTATATCTTAAAAAGGAAGGTTAATGTTTCTTCCTGTACTCTTTATTCTTTTTAGCCCATATCCTTGAATTTTATATTGTGACACTTGTGACTAACATGAGTTTGATATATCTACTGTTTGCTTTGCTTGCTGGACTTCTTTTTGGAGCTCCTCTGGTGCATGTGGCAGTTAATTGAGCCATGACTGGTGTTGCTTCAGGATGGTATGCTATAGGACTTTCTGGTTCAAAAAGATCTTGATTTATTCATTCTTTCAGCAGATATGAAAGACAATAGTTTCCAGAAGAATGTCCAAGTTAATTAGCTTCAAAAAAATTGTAGGGAATAGATAGGAAGGATGTCCGAATTGTTTGCCATTTCAATATTCCAAAGTCAATGGAATCCTTCTATCAGGAGTCTGGAAGAGCTGGTCGTGATCAACTGCCTTCAAGAAGTTTGTTGTACTATGGAATAGATGACCGGAAAAGAATGGTTGTATTAACATCTTATTTTCTTCCTTTTAATTTGTATTTTTTATTTGGATTTCTGAACCATTTAGAAAATTTGTGGCAGGAATTTATTTTGAATAATGCTGAGGTTAAGAAGCTAGAGTCTTCAAGCTCCCATGATGGTTTGTCAAAAAAATCGCTAATAGATTTCAATCAGGTACACCTTCAATGATGTTAGTAAAGTTTGGGAGTACTGCCTTAACCATTGGAATCATGTCAGAGCCTGGGTGAATCCTGCATGCAGATGGTTGAATACTGTGAAGGTTCTGGTTGTCGTAGAAAGAAAATTCTTGAGAGTTTTGGAGAACAGGTACTGAACACTAGGTTTATATGCAATTATGTTTGTACATATTGATGCTTTCTGTCTCTCTCCATATTAAAGTACTTGTTGTCATCTTCGAATAACAGGTCCCTATATCATGGTGTAGAAAATCATGTGATGCCTGCAAACACCCAAATCTAGTTGCCAAGTATTTGGATGAGCTTACTTCTGCTTCTACTACTTGCAAGAAGAATCGGTTCACTGGCATCATTATCAACAAGTACTTTTATGTCCTCATTTAATAATCTATTTGGTATAACTATTGTCCAGATTTGCATTGGGTAATAGCCATTGAAGCTTGGGTTTAATGTAGAATAGCTGGTTAACTAGATGTATATCCTCAAACGATGAGAGTTTGAAATGAAAGACTACTTTTGGCTTTTAAAGAATGCAGAGCCAAAGAACTATTTTAATAGGAAACAGTCAACAGATTTTTATATCAGAAGTAGCAACCCAAAAAAAATCATTCATGCATTAAAAAAAGAAAAAAAAAATTATTCATATGATGAGGCATATATGTTGGGTATTAGAGGGGCATACATTTTGGATTTCTGTGATGGTACCGCCAGGTATCAGGGTGGCATATATGCATCTTGTAGGATCTGAATATGGGTTCAGTATGACCAATTTGAAGTTAATGGTCTGAATATGTATGAATTATTATTATTTTTTTCTCCAAAAAAAGGGTTTTACAATTTCCGTTAAATTGGAAACTAACTTTGATTGACATGTTGTGGATTAAAATTTGAACTTTTATGTTGTTTTGGCATATTTTATGGTTAACTATGCCATGTTTCAGCTCCATGAATACAACTGCTGATGAGCAATTCACAGAGTTCTGGAACCGTGATGATGAAGCAAGTTGTTCTGAGGACATCTCTGAATCTGATGGTATCTCAACCAGATTTTTTTTTCCCAAAACTCTCTATTGCTGAAGTTTAGAACTAATGCTTTTTTTCTGGTAAGCAAGGGATGAGGCTTTGAGTGGCTTCAGTCAAATGCTATGTGGCTTCCTTGGACTTCTTGTTTATTCCATTTTATACTCTTCTTTTTCTCTCCTGTTCATCTCCCTTCTTTTATCTGTTTAATATTTTCTTTAGCCTAGTATTTAGTGCTAAAACCGCCACTTGATTGCATGAGTTCTATCAATCACATTACTAAGTTCTCTAATTTGATTGGTTTGCATCATTTCAATAATTAGCTGCGTCCATCATATGGTCTGGTAATTAGAAAAATTGTGAATTCTACTTAAGACACATGGGTTACAAAGATTCAAAATTTACATCAAGATTTAGATTAAGTAGAACAACTGATGGCAAACAAAAATAAGTGGGAGGTGGTGTGTAGGAGTAAAGAGGAAGGGGGATTGGGACTAGGGAATTTAATTCAGAAAAATACAGCCTTACTGGGAAAGTGGTTGTGGAGGTGGCCGTTAGAGAGAGTCAGGTTGTGGCATGAGGTGATAAGAAGCATACATGGTGGCTCAGGGAATAGATGGGATGCTGGTGTATCAAGGCAGGCAACTTCAGCAACCCCTTGGAAAGCAGTGCACAATATTCTTCCTCAGTTTCTCAGTCTTATCAGGTATGATGTGTGTGATGGTAACTCCGTCCTCTTTTGGGAGGACATTTGGGTTGGAGATGTTCCCCTGAAAACCCTTTTCCCTTCCTCTTTCTCAGTTTCTCGATACAAAAAAGAGGTTGTTTCCAAGTTTTGCTCCTCATTGGAAACCCCTTGGGCTCCTACTTGGGATTTTGGGTTCCGTAGAGGCTTAAGGGATGAGGAGATTGAGTGCTTAGTCAGTTTACTCTGCCTTCTTGATCAAGTCTTTTTGAACCCCTCTGAACCTAACAAAAGAATTTGGACACCTAGATCGGAAAGATCTTTCTCTTGTGCTTCTTTTTTCAAATCCCTTTGCTGTTCTAACCCCCAGCAGGCCTTCCTCTGAACCTAACAGAGAAAAGGTCTTGTTCCTTTACTGCAGAATTATGGAACTGGCTTCTCTCTTTGTTTGGGAGCAGTTGGAACTTGCCAGCAGATTTAAGAACGCTTTTTGATACTTCGACTTTTGTTTGGCAACAGAAAAGGGGTAAAATCATGTGGAGGTGTGCAAGAGCTGCATTGATATGGACAATCTGGGAAGAAAGGAATGCTAGAACTTTCTTGGAAAAGGAAAGGAACCCTCAAGAGTTAAAGGACTGCATCCTGGGTAGGGTGATTCATTCGCTGAAATCTTTGGACTTGTTTCACCATTTCTCCTTTAATGACATTTGGAGGAATTGGGCAGCAGTGGCAAGCTGTTCCTCTTCCAAGACTAAAGTGAGAACAAGCTGGTCATTACCTCCTGCAGGCTTCTCGAAGTTGAATTTTGAYKGAAGCAGTCTAGGAAACCCAGGTCCTTCTGGAGTAGGCGGGGTGTTGAGGAATGAAGTCGGGAATGTGATATTTATTTTCTCAGGTCCGTTAGGAGTGGGAGACTACTAGAGCAGAAATATCTGCTGCCCTGCAAGGTGTACAGTTTGCAGCTCAGTTAGGGGTGAACCAGCTAATAGTTGAAGGCGACTCAAAGGTTGTAATAAGCTGGTTGCAAGACCCAGAGTAAGTTGGTGCTTCAGGAATGAAATTAAAAAGTTTAAGGCGCTTACAAGAAACATGGACCTAAGAATAAAATGGGCGGGGAGATCAGCAAATGCTATGGCGGACTGTCTAGCCAAGCAAGGGGCGGCGAGGGAAGTTTTGTATTGGGCACAATTGTAACTTATTTCTTTTGTTTTCTTCTTTAGTGGAGAGATCGCAGCTCGCGCCTCTCCAAGGGCTGCTTGTATGTGCTAACTTTTCCAAATCAATAAAAAGTTCATTTTTTTATCAAAAAAAAACAAATAATCATCCATTAATTCAAGAATTATAATTTAATATGTGGATATGGGTTCTTTTTACCCATCTTTTAGAATACCAGAATTTATTGTACTACTAGCCAATTTTTTGAATAAAGGAGAGTAGGTTATATATGCATAATTTCTCTGTAAATGTAGGAATAGCTAATTCTTTGGACAAACCCTAGGAAGTGTGCATATGATAATGATACATGCATTTTGTTATTTTGACTAAATGCATATTAGACACTGAATTGTTCTAAAATAGAGAAAAGTAAATAAACCTTTCATAGAAAACATATAGTATGTGTATGATTTGGATTTTTAGAAGTTTAATATGGAAATGAAGAGGGGAAGATGGAGAGCAAGAGGGGATTCAGAGTCGTAGGAAGATGGAGGTCTGAGGTGTTGATCGAAGCCAAGACTTTCAAGTTTGAAGAGGAACAGACCAAAGGTAAGGGTGCACTGAAAATCAGAGAGAATAACAGGGCGACAGTACTGGTACCAAAGGAGGTCATAGTATGGATGAAAGGCTTTGTAGATGGGGCTATCAACTCTGGTAAGGTGAATGGCTGGAAAAACTCCATGTCAGTTCCAGGTAAGAAATATGAAATAGAATTGAAAAAAAAAACAGTAAGGGGTGGTTCATCACTGTGGCGGAGTTTTTTGCAACAAATGGAAAACAAATGCTCTGTGTGCCGGAAGGGAGATTGTAGAAAGGGTGGATGGTTTTTGTGAAGGTAACTGGTCAAAAATCCAAAGACCAGGGTCAAAAAATTCAGGAGGCAGTTTTGATTTTAATTACTGGGAGTGTAGAAGTGCAAAGCCCTCCGATTCCTGGAATGGTGGTCGCTTGCTCTTCTATTCATAGAAGAATACTGGTAGGAGCGGGGACGGATGATTGGAAGAAAACAATGGTGTTAGTGGCTGATAAAGGAGTGACAGATTAGAAGAAGGTTTTGAATACAGTAGATAGGCATTGGAAATGAAGTGTAGAGAACACTAATGTGGACCCCACTAAGGTGGTCCCCACTGTTCGTATGTCAGCAAAAGTTATGATTAGGATTAGTTCTTTATGATAAGATTAGGACTAGTCTTTTATAAGATTAGGATTAGTCTTTTTTCAGCTTTATCTTATCTTATCTTGCCATGTAAGCAATTCAGTCCTTTTACAAGTATGATACTATGTATATAAATTTAAGAGGGGGGC